TCAGTGATTCCTCGTACAAGAGGATGTAGCTCTAATTACAATTAATGATTGTAAGATAGTAGTGATTTGGATTTCAGCTGGAGTCCTCCTGCCCAACCCCGACTCTGTTGGCATGTTAATCAATTGGTTTATTGTGAAGAGCAATTAGGGGTTGCTGGAAGTGGTTGTAGTCATCTCACGTAGCTTGAAGAAATGGGCCAGCTGCCTCGAAGTGAAGACGATAAAGCGCCATCACCACAGATTCTAAACCTGACAGTTCCTTGTATAAAGGTGTCTTCATTTCTGTCATCTGTGTGTTATTGGACAAACAGCGGGAGCTTTACTACCTCTTTTCCTCTCTCTCTCTCTCTACTTTCTTGCTCTAAATAATTTTTATTTCATTACGAGGTTGATGGGCATGTCCTGCTGGAGGCGAGTGGGTGTATTTGGAGGCAAACGGGGTGGCAGATCAGCTAAATACCACTGCTTGATGCGCAGAGGGCTCTGCCAGATGGAAACAAGAAGTGACTTTAATTGTTTCTAAGTGCTCACAGGTGGCAATGTTTACCCACCTCGGTCTGAATAGAAACATCACGTTATACCAACCTGCGTAAATAACCAACTTAGTCTAGCATGAATTTCCCTTATGGTTGAGGCTGATCTTGATGTTTTGCCAAAATGTTTACAAGCCCTTAGTGAGGCTGGTTGACAAAGTTTTGCTGGTTAAGCTTAGTTAACCCTATAAATCCTACTGTATTATATTTGATATGCACCTTTGTAAAGCCTCTAATTATTTAAAATCTATCAGGATTTCATCTTATTTTTTGGCCATTTAAATATCAGCAAATGCACCAAATTGCATATTTTTGCTCTGAATAATTTTTTATAAACAATTTTTCTCGTTGAGTATGATCTCCATGTTCTCATACTATATAAGCCATACAAGCATGATGTATCAAATATACTCAATGAAAAACACACAGGCATTTAAAAATATATATATTTTGTCTAAAGGTTCAATAAACTTCCATTTTTTTAACGTTTTTTTTCTATCATTTCAAGTCTCTACACGGTTAAAGATGTTCACATAAAATCGCTCTCAAAAAGAACTTTGGAGAATCTTATAGCTTTGGAGATTCTTAAGATGAAATTCTGATGTCCAAATAATGACTGTTTAGCATGAAAAAAACACTAAAAATGATCAATCTAGTCATAAATGTAATTTATGATTGTACAATTGCATGATAATGTAATTTATGACAGCGTAAATGAAATCCATACAGCTTCTAAATCAGTATTCACTACAAAAGCTCCCTGCCGCAGCTCTCAAATCAAATATGGCTGTTAGACATGTCATCTGGTTTACTGATGTTACATAGTGGTGCAGACAAAATTACACAATTGAGTATCAAACAAAGGATCTTTCATCATAAAGCACAGGTAACAGGACAAAAGGTAGAACAGTGTAAACCAAAACGAGACTGGACCCTGAGCACAGGAAAAGGATGAACTAAAGTACTAACAAAACCAAGGTAAATTAATAACAGAGCTGAAACCAAAGACCTAATCATATCAGAAACCATGACAACAAATGACAAGTGGGAAAATCAAGCCAAGGCAGACAGGAACTAAAGAATACAAACTAAAAGTCCATGAAACTGAAACTAATGGTGACATGTTTAGTCACATGAACCAATGATGTTTAAAATCATGGATCTGCAACCATGTTTTATTTGAGAGAGGATGGGGAAGATTTTCTGTGAATAATGGAAATGGTTATGGAAAATACCTACATGAAGATTCTCCAGAACCTCTCCTTTGAACAGCAAAATAAAATTAAAAAACGCATATGGAACAACATGAGGGTGAGTAAATAATGACAGACTATTTGTTTTTTGAGTGGACTGTCTCTTTAAGACAGCTAATGGGAATGCAGCATCCCATTGTTCTTAGTACAGAGCTGTGCTCTGAATTAAAAGAAAGACAGAAACTGATTTTTTAATATTGCAGCCTTAAGTGAGAGTGTTTCAATCACAGACATCCCACTGGTCAGCAGCACACATCACAGAATCCTGCATGATTTGTCTGTGCGGTGTGGAAATTTTTGGCAGTATTGCAGTGATTTGTATTGAACTCAACAGAAGGTAGCAGACCTGAGCGACTATGATAACGCATGAAGATTCTCCAGAACCTCTCCTTTGAACAGCAAAATAAAATTAAAAAACGCATATGGAACAACATGAGGGTGAGTAAATAATGACAGACTATTTGTTTTTTGAGTGGACTGTCTCTTTAAGACAGCTAATGGGAATTCAGCATCCCATTGTTCTTAGTACAGAGCTGTGCTCTGAATTAAAAGAAAGACAGAAACTGATTTTTTAATATTGCAGCCTTAAGTGAGAGTGTTTCAATCACAGACATCCCACTGGTCAGCAGCACACATCACAGAATCCTGCATGATTTGTCTGTGCGGTGTGGAAAGTTTTGGCAGTATTGCAGTGATTTGTATTGAACTCAACAGAAGGTAGCAGACCTGAGCGACTATGATAACTGAGACGACCACTGATGTTCCCTTTGAGGACGCAGAAGCAGTGGATGTCAGGTTATGTTTAAGAAATATGACCGATAAGCCGATCTTAGAGAAGACGCGAGAGTTAAAAAGAGAGCGATTGAAAGGGAAAGATGAAAGAGTTTAAAGACTGTATTGATGAACACCTGTTGTGAAAAAGGAAGTATGGGTTGTCCCTTTTTAAAAAAATGGCTAATAACCTTTAGTTTACAGTACATTACAGCTTGTTAAAAGCAGAACTGAATTATTTTCTTATGATTTTGTAATACTAAGCTACAGTTGGAAGTCGATATTTTCATTCCAGGAACCATTTTGTTTAGATAAGATATTAATATTTTTGTATTTTTTTGTTATTATCTATGTTGAAAACAGTTTGAAAGTTTTTGTGGAAACGGTGACACATTTTGTTCAACATTCTTTAATGAATAAAAACTCCAAAAGAACGGCATTTATTTTAAATAAATCTTTGTCTTTACTGTCAGTTTTGATCAATTTAATAGGAAAACATATCTTTTAGAAATCACCTTTGTTTCTTTTATACTGCAATGACATTAAATGAACAGCAAATTGCAGTCGCTTAGTTTCTCTTAAGAAAACGACCCCAGTAATCTCACATGCGTCTCATTTAGAGCTTCATAAGACAATGTCACAAACTGCAGTCCGATTTGTCGACACAGATGTGTGGAAAAGAAAGAAATTAAATGTTATCTCTTTTTTTTCTGGTCTCACTTGCCTTTATTTTTTCCTATGGAATTTTAAGAGAAACATCTGCGATAAAGCTGGTTCTGTACTTAAATGCAACAATAATGATAACTCCATTAAGTGTCTTTGCCTATCAAGAGAGCAGTCTCTTGGAAAGATTTGAAGGAAGGGAATATCATTCAGGACAGAAAATTCTCACTCACTTGTTTTGGTGTTTGGAGCCCTGGAGATGTGCGTGATACTGCTCGATGGAATTCAGCACCACCTTGCAAACACTGCACGAGTAACTCCGGCGCAGGCCTGCAACACAAAGCAAAAAAATTCAGACTTGAAAGCAGAATGGAAACAAGTCCCTACTGAAACGCTCTTAAAATTGTTTTGTCCCATTTTTCGTTTTTCTTTTGAGCATTATTGATTGCTTTTTGTTTTTGAGATTGCCTTGGCTGACAAAAAGCAGAGAAATCTATATTTAATCCCTGTTGTTTTGCTTCTCTCGACATGACGAGGGTTTTGTTTGAAGACTTCATTCTCTGTGTGTCAGATGAAAATGTACCAGCTCCTAATATGGCACCTCTTTCTGCAGTCTTCATGGAATCAGAAGTATTAGCAATTATACTGTAGCTTGCTTTTGTCCTGCACTCTTAAAAATAAAGGTGCTTCAAAAGGTTCTTCAAGCGATGCCATAGAAGAACCATTTTTGGTTCCACAAAGAACCATTCAGTCAAAGGTTCTTTAAAGATCCATCTCTTTCCTAGCTTTTTATAATCTGAAGAACCTTCTTTCACCACAAAGAACCTTTTGTGAAACAGAAAGGTTCTTCAGATGTTAAAGGTTCTTTCTGGAACCATTTAGACAAAAAGGTTCTTCTATGGCACCGTGAAGCACCTTTATTTTTAAGAGTGTGATGGCCTTTTGATTGAGAAGACGCGAGAGTTAAAAAGAGAGCGATTGAAAGGGAAAGATGAAAGAGTTTAAAGACTGTATTGATGAACAACCTGTTGTGAAAAGGAAGTATGGGGTTGTCCTTTTTTAAAAAAATGGCTAATAACCTTTAGTTTACAGTACATTACAGCTTGTTAAAAGCAGAACTGAATTATTTTCTTATGATTTTGTAATACTAAGCTACAGTTGGAAGTCGATATTTTCATTCCAGGAACCATTTTGTTTAGATAAGATATTAATATTTTTGTATTTTTTTGTTATTATCTATGTTGAAAACAGTTTGAAAGTTTTTGTGGAAACGGTGACACATTTTGTTCAACATTCTTTAATGAATAAAAACTCCAAAAGAACGGCATTTATTTTAAATAAATCTTTGTCTTTACTGTCAGTTTTGATCAATTTAATAGGAAAACATATCTTTTAGAAATCACCTTTGTTTCTTTTATACTGCAATGACATTAAATGAACAGCAAATTGCAGTCGCTTAGTTTCTCTTAAGAAAACGACCCCAGTAATCTCACATGCGTCTCATTTAGAGCTTCATAAGACAATGTCACAAACTGCAGTCCGATTTGTCGACACAGATGTGTGGAAAAGAAAGAAATTAAATGTTATCTCTTTTTTTTCTGGTCTCACTTGCCTTTATTTTTTCCTATGGAATTTTAAGAGAAACATCTGCGATAAAGCTGGTTCTGTACTTAAATGCAACAATAATGATAACTCCATTAAGTGTCTTTGCCTATCAAGAGAGCAGTCTCTTGGAAAGATTTGAAGGAAGGGAATATCATTCAGGACAGAAAATTCTCACTCACTTGTTTTGGTGTTTGGAGCCCTGGAGATGTGCGTGATACTGCTCGATGGAATTCAGCACCACCTTGCAAACACTGCACGAGTAACTCCGGCGCAGGCCTGCAACACAAAGCAAAAAAATTCAGACTTGAAAGCAGAATGGAAACAAGTCCCTACTGAAACGCTCTTAAAATTGTTTTGTCCCATTTTTCGTTTTTCTTTTGAGCATTATTGATTGCTTTTTGTTTTTGAGATTGCCTTGGCTGACAAAAAGCAGAGAAATCTATATTTAATCCCTGTTGTTTTGCTTCTCTCGACATGACGAGGGTTTTGTTTGAAGACTTCATTCTCTGTGTGTCAGATGAAAATGTACCAGCTCCTAATATGGCACCTCTTTCTGCAGTCTTCATGGAATCAGAAGTATTAGCAATTATACTGTAGCTTGCTTTTGTCCTGCACTCTTAAAAATAAAGGTGCTTCAAAAGGTTCTTCAAGCGATGCCATAGAAGAACCATTTTTGGTTCCACAAAGAACCATTCAGTCAAAGGTTCTTTAAAGATCCATCTCTTTCCTAGCTTTTTATAATCTGAAGAACCTTCTTTCACCACAAAGAACCTTTTGTGAAACAGAAAGGTTCTTCAGATGTTAAAGGTTCTTTCTGGAACCATTTAGACAAAAAGGTTCTTCTATGGCACCGTGAAGCACCTTTATTTTTAAGAGTGTGATGGCCTTTTGATTGG